GGGGGGGGGGGGAGTTCAAGTGCCAGACTGAATGGGAACCTGAGTGAGATGGAGGGTGTTTCTGGGTGGGAATGAGCATAGATGACATTTACTGAAATGTTTTAAATGGCTCGCTTTGGCTGTTATATACTGAAGGAAGTGGTGAGACAGAAGAAAGGACCAAGTGGGCTACGACAATGTTTTTATCAACACAAAATAGCTTTGGCTCTTTTCAGCAGGAAAGGCTGCTGGCTATGGGAAAGAGAATGGCTAGCTCACAAAATCCATGGGAAGTCAGGATAAGAATGTGAGAAGGAAAAAAGAGAGAGCGCCAGGAGGACGCTGGCCAAGATAACCAAGATAATCACTGGAACCATCAGCGGCAGGCTGTTGCTGCCATTGCCTCCCCCGCCCCCACACACACCTGGGGCCCGGAACGCCACTGCCATAGGCTCTTGACCCATTGCTGCCCTTGCGGACAACTTCCTAATTGTTTCTGTGTTTTTGTTGTCACTTCCTCAAACAACATTCATAATCCCATAAATGATGATCCAAGTGGCCAAGCCATTGCCAGATGCTAAAACCTTAGGTCTCGGGGTGTGCTGGTGAAACTGAATGATCCCAAAGAGTCAATGGCCCCTTCAACGTCTGTGGTGGGAGGCAAAGACTTTCCACCAATGAAGAGTCACACAACAGGGGATTTTCCAAAATTGGAAGAGAGTTTTGAGGCTGAGAACGAAGCAAACAGCAAACGCCAAGGTGCTCATTATGTGAATTGGGTGCCGGGGGAAGTGGAGGCTTGGATACAGTTATGAGTGCATAATGTATGCTAAATATGATGGAGGGAGGAAGCAGAGTGGGTTTGAAAAAGCCTTCAGACCAAGATGCAGGTTTGATACCCAGAAAAGGAAGGAAGAGAAGCAGAATTAGGCAGGGAGAGACTCAGGCCACCGTGCAGAGCTGCAGGCTATCTAACAGTTCCTCTGGGGTGAAGATTGCTGTGAGGGGTGTCCCCTGTTGGGCAAGAAGTGGCCATGCCCTTGACCCCGGCTGTTCTCAGTTGCTGGCTAGGGCTCCCTTGGAAGAGCATGGACTCTGCTCCAAGCTGAAGTGGATCCTGAAGGTGCTGCCGCTGGAGGCTGTCAGCTCACTGCACTCCTTGCAGCTAAATGGCAAGTTCTTTCTTAAAGGAAGGCCTGAGTGTCATGTCTCTGTGCCTGCCACCGACAAACGTGCAAATACACACGACTCAGCTCAATGAAGTTCAAGGTGCTGACCAACTTAAGGGCTGCCTTTGGACAGGCGGAATTGTGGTGCTCGAAAGAAGCTTCCAAAGTAGTAAGGTGTATTTTGAACACGTGACAATTTAGATGTACAGAATAGAGGGTTTGCTTTCTTTGTACCCTTCATGGTGGTAGCAGAGGTGAATTTAAGACAGTAGGAAATATCTGTAGGGACATACATCTGAGATTTTTGTGGCCCTGCCCCTTAGAGGATTTCCATAGAATTCAGTGGCATTATTTAAAGGAATTTTTGTATCACCAGGAAGAAAGCCGTCTGACTGGCACCTGGAGGTGAGGGAGCCCCGTGTTCTAGTGCAGAAGTCTGGGGTGGAGGCTGCCTTGCTGAGCTAGGAGGTGTTAAGGAGAGATCAGCCTGGGCAGGTGTGGCTGTGGTTAGAGCATGGCCTGCACTCTGAAGGGTCACGGGTTCGATTCCTGGTCAAGGATACGTGCCTGGGTAGCAGGTTTGATCCCCAGCCCCGGTCGGGGTGCATGCGGGAGACAACCAACCAATGTGTCTCTCCCACATCGATGTTTCTCTCCCTTTTCCTCCCTCCCTCTCCCTCTCCCTCTCTCTCTTCCCCTCCCTCCCTTCCACTCTCTATTAAAAAAAAAAAATCAGGATTGAACCCAAACCATCCGACTCCGGAGTGCCTGCTGTGTTACACCCACTCTCACTTTTAACGGGTTAACTACATGCTATGTGTACACAGCCAAACCCTCATAGGCAACCTTACTTCAAACCTTCCTCCACAAACACACATACCCAATACATAGGCCCCTGCTTCCTCCATTTAGGTATTAATGTTACCCATACATCCAACTCTAACAGCCCACATCCTGCAATTCCAAGTACTCTCACACCATTCTCTGTCCTTCCATCTATTCATAACTCTTCCATCCATTCATTCATCAGCCAACTTATTAATCTTTCCATCCACTTATTCTTCCAACCTTCCATTGATCCCCTTCTCAAACACTGTACCCATTTCTCCTCCTCCCACCTGTTTACCCCTTTATTCATTTGTCTGTCCATCAATCCAGTCATAAAGTCTCACTGGCATTCATCATTCTACCCACCCTTTCACTAATTTTCAAATATCCACTGAACCATCCCCACACTTGACAGTTTTTAAATGTTTCTTACTGCATGGAAATTCTATAGTGTAGCTAGCTTGCTATCCAGGTGCGATCTCGTGTAATCATGCATGCACCTGTCGGGGGAGTGTAAGTGGTATCTATCCCTCCTTCCACCTTCCTACGCATCCATGCCATTAGCCAGCCAGCTCGTAATCTACCCTCCGGTAAGCTCTCCTTGGTGTTACTCACTTGTTCCGTGCCCAATTCCCTATCTCTTCACCTCAGCCCTAGTCTGTAGAGAGGGGAGCTTGGTCTCCCCATTGAGCCTGGGAGGCTGGGAGAGGCTTCCCTGAGAGCACAGTCTAAAGCTTTTAGATTCTGCCACCTCCTGGTCCAACACAGAGTTGGGAACAAAGCGGAGGGGAGGCAGAAGGCTGACACTGAGACTCTGGCAGGTGTAGTTCTGGCTAATGGAGACCGATGGAGGATTTTCCGACGCTTCTGCCTGACCATCCTTCAGGACTTCGGGATGGGAAGGCGGAGCATTGAGGAGCAGATCCAGGAGGAGATCAGCTTTCTACTGGAGGAATTTCGTAAGGCCAATGGTATGGATGCAAAAAGGGACAGGGCTACAAGGGGACTGTGTGGTTGCAGTGAGTTCCGTTGCCAAAGCAAAGGTCTCAGTAGGAGAAAGTTACGGTGTGAGAGGATGAACAAAGACTAATTGTAGGATTCACATATTTTCCCAATCAGGGTCCATGTTAGAAGTTAACACGAAAGACATATTTATAAAAAAATTAAAAAATAATAAATTTAAAAAAAAGCAAATGGACTCACCCAATTCTCAGACTCGGCACTGGATGTTAAGAACAGCTGTCTGACTAGAGACTCAGCCCATGCTGACCCCAGGTGCCCATCACTGACGAACCAACCGCCTTTGCCTGTTCCCCACAGCTCTATGACATGTATTCTGGAATCATGCAGTATTTGCCAGGAAGACACAATCGCATCTACCACTTGGTAGAGGAGCTCAAGGACTTCATTGCCTCTAGGGTCAAGGTCAACGAGGAATCCCTCGACCCACAGAACCCTCGGGACTTCATTGACTGCTTCCTCGTCAGGATGCACCAGGTACCATTCTCCTTCCCAATCCTTTCCTCTCATCCCATAGAGCCTGCCACCCTAAGCCCATTTGCAAAACATGTTTGGGACAATATAGTGATTATAGTTTTATGTGGTTCCTAATATCTAGAGACAAATGTAGACATAAAAGCCAGTCTTTGGGTAGCACTGAAGGAGAAGTTGGGATGTTAGATGTACACTCCAGCTCTTTCCCTTCTCTACAAGAACCTGAGAGCTGGGATTTACCACCCGCTCACTCTGTGATGAGTTGGATGTGGTGGGGACCTGCATTCTAATTCAAACCACCCCTTTGCTTTCTGTAGACCAGTCCTTCAGGTAACAGCCAGAAAAGTTAGGATGTTAATCACTTTGTAAGGTATATAAATGTTGAATCACAATGTTGTACACCTGAAACTAATATAATATTGTATGTCAATTATAATTAAAAATAAATTTAAACATTTTTCCATGTTAGATATGTGATCGAATCCCTTCCCTCTCTGGGAGAAGCTGGGAGCTGGAGTTTATTGCCCACTCTCTGCGCTGAGCTGGGGGAGGAGCTGTGGTGAGCACTCATGCACTTGTTCAAATCACCACTGTGTTCTCTGCAACCCCTGGAGGACTAGTGTATGTCGGGCCAAGGGAATGTTCTGAGACAGGTGAAACAGAAGCCAGTTCCTCAGCGAGCACTGACAAAAGTTGGCACAGTAGCTTTGTGGTTCAGCTTCTGTCCTTGGAACTAAGGGTTCCCTCGTGACCCTACAGCACTGAGCCAGGATTGGGGATTGTGGGAAGACGGTGTTTCCAGTTTTTCTATCATTCTCAATGAGATTGGTTTCACACTCACCCAGAGTACAGGAGCCTCTCGACTAGTTTCTGGGTTTCTCACAAAAGGAATTCATTCTTATGTTAGTGCTGAATTAGTGTATCTATGGGGGGAAGAGGAGTCCGGGGCTGCTTCTGCTCCCATATGGCACATGTCACAGTCAAATCTCAAAACTTTCTCTTGTTCTCATTCTATGATTTTTTAAAATTGAAATTGACATATAACATTATATTAGTTTCAGGTGTACAACATAACGATTTGATAGCTGCATATACTGCAAAACGACCACTACAATAAATCTAGTTCACATAGTTACAAAAAATGTTTTTCTTCTGATGAGAACTTCTAAGATTTACTCTTAGTGACATCAGAGGAATGGCGTGTGAGAGGTTCCCCTGATCTCTCCTCTTGGAGTTAAAACAATATGGACAGCTATAATTCAACAAAGGATTCTCTGCTCAACACACGAGCATGTCTGAGAGATCCACACATGGAAACATCTGAAGGAGGGAGAGGGGGGTGAGCCTGGGAGGAGGGAAGAGAGAAGAGTGGAGGCAGGTGCCACAGATGGAGCCTGGAGTTTACCTGAGAGGTGAGGAATCAGGTGGCCTCCTGCACTCCCTGAGCCCATGGGAGCAAAGAGGGTGAGCTCCCCTGCTGGAGTGATCAATACAGGCTGCAGCTGAGCCCCGGGACCGGCGGGTGGAAAGGCAGTGCACAGGTGCAGCTGTGGTTGCCTGGCAGCCACCATTGCCAGGCAGAAAAACAAAGCCACTGAGCCTGACCCCCTCACCACCACCACCACCACCAGAGCTAGCAGCAGGCCCCAGAAGGAGCTGTAGCAGTGAGTGCTGGGCTCTAGAGCACAATATCTGCAACCTTGAGAAATGGAGCAACAGAAGCCATTTTTCCTGAGCGGCAGGGGGTCGCACTGTGGCCAATCCCAGTGACAGGGGTGGAGATACAGAGCTGAGACAGCTGAGGTCTGGCAGTTGCCATTACTGGGAGGAGACAAAGCCACAAAGGCACCAGCCGGCTTCTCCCAGTTCACCCCACTCCCACCCATCATGGCTGATTGTCCATGGTATTCGTATCCGGTTGCAGGGGACAGTGCTTGGATTTCAGAGGTTTGGAACCCCATTGCCCAGAACATTCTCCCACGGGAGGGGGCTGTCCTGAGATGGAAGTGACCTGGTCACAGAGGAGACACCATCTCCCCAGGGAATAAAGGGCATTTTCCACCACCCTGAAGAGATCCTAGAAGCCAGAGCAGTGCAAGAGAAACTTAAAAACCTGTGCTTCAGTGCCACCAACTGGAAAACAAGAAAAAGACTTCTTTTTACCCACCTAGGAGAGCAATGTTCATTCAGCCTTTTTCATTTCGTAGCACACATAAACTAATTACTAAAATGCTGCAGCACTTGAAAAATGAAGAAGGAAAATTGTCACTTCTTGCAGACGACGTGATTCTTTATATAAGGAGCCCTAAAGACTCCACCAAAAACTATTAGAAATAATAAACAAATACAAAGTTGCAGGATACAAAATCTATGTACAAAAATCCATTGCATTTCTATATAATTTCAATGAAATTTTAGAGAAAGAAATCTAAAGAAACAATTCCTTTTGCAATTGCAACAAAAAGAATAAATACCTAGGAATAAATTTAATGAAGGATGTGAAGGACCTATACACTGAAAACTACAAGACATTATTAAAAGAAATTAAAGAAGACACACAAAAATGGAAAGGCATTCGATATTCATGGATTGGAAGAATCAACATAGAGAAAATGTCCATATTACCCAAAACGATCCCTATCAAGATCCAAATGGTGTTAACTAGAACCACAAAAGTCATCAGATTTGTATGGAACCACAAAAGATCCCGATTAGCTAAAGCAATCTGAGAAAAAAGAACAAAGCTAGAGGTATCACACTCTCTGACTTCAAACTATACTAGAAAGTGACAGTAATAAAAACAGCATGATAGGGCTACCTGTTCGGGACCCTCTCACCGTGGCGGGAACTTTTATCTCTTCAAAAAACTTTTGCTTTTGCTTAAAAACAAAAACAAAACAAATAAGAAACCCAGCATGATATTGGCAGAAAAACAGACACAAACTACTGAAGCAGAACTGAGAGCCCAGAAATAAACCCACATGTATATGGGCAAATAACCTTTGACAGAGCAGCCAAAAAAAACATACAGTGGAGAAAAGAAAGCCTCTTCAATCAGTGGCGCTGGGAAAACTGAACAGCCACACGCGAAAGAATGAAACTAGACGACTGTCACCATACACAAAAATTAACTCAAAATGGATCAAAGACCATTTCAGATATACAATACAGTATTATTGATAGTCACCATGATGTACATTACATCCCATGACTTATTTTATAACTGAAGTTTATACCTTTTGAATCACTCCTTCATTTTGTCTGTCCACCACCCCCTGCCTCTGGCAACCACCAATCTCCTCTATATGTATAAGCTCAGCTGGTTTTTTATTTGTTTTAGATTACACACATAATTGAGATCATATAGTATTTCTTTTTCTGTCTGACTTATTTCACTTAGCACAATGCCCTCGAAATCCACCCATGTTGTCACAAATGGAAAGACTTTCTTTCTTTTTATTTCTAAATAATATTCCATTATATGTACCCTACATCTTCTTTATCCATTCACCCATCAATGGACACATAGGGCTATTGTAAATAATGCTGCAGTGAACACAGGGGTGCACATATCTCTTCAAATTAGTGTTTTTGTGTCCTTTGGATAAATACCCAAAAGTGGAATAGCTAGATCATACGGTAGCTCTATTTTAACTTTTTTGAGGAACCTCCATACTGTTTTCCAGTGTGGCTGCCGCCAATTTACATTCCCACCAAGAGAAAACTCATTATTACTTGTGTGTTTTTTATAATAGCCATTCTAACAGGTGCGATACCTCATTGTGGTTTTGATTTGCATTTCCCTGATGATTGGTGATGTTGAGCATCTTTTCATGTACCTGTTGGCCATCTATATGTCTTCTTTGGAAAAATTACTATTCTGATTCCCTGCCTATTTTTTATATCAGATTGTTTGGGGTTTGTGTTGGGTTTTTTTACTATTAAGTTGTATGTGTTCCTTATAGATTTTGGGTGTTACCCTTTATCGGATATATGATTTGCAAATATTTTCTCCCATTCAGTATGTTACCTTTTCATTTCGCTGATGGTTTTCCTTTGCTGTGTGAAAGCTTCTTAGTTTAACATAGTTCCACTTGTCTATTTTGGGTTTTGTTGCCTTTGCTTTAAGTGTCAAATCCAAAAAAAAAAAAAATTGTCAAGACTGACATTATTGAGTTTACCACCCATGTTTTCTCTGAGAAGTTTTAAGATTTCAGATCTTATGTTCAAGTTTTTAATCCACTTTGAGTTAGTTTTTGTGTATTATATAAGATGATGGTCCAGTTTTCCCAAGAGCATTTATTGAAGAGACCATCCTTCTACCTAATGTATATTCTTGGGTTCTTTGTCATAAATTTATTGCCCAAATATGCACGGGTTTATTTCTGGGCTCTTTATTCTGTTCCATTGTTAAACTTTCGAAAGATGGCAGAAAAAAAAAAGTATTCTACGGGGAGACAAGATGGCGGCGCAGGTAACCGTGGTACCCGCTGCCTCCCACAACCGCATCAAAATTACAACTAAAATCCAGAACCACCATCACTCAGAGCCTCCTGAGATCTGGCTGCACAGAAGCCTCACAACCAGGGAACTGAAGAAGCACCGAGACCGGTAGGAGAGGCGGAGACGCGGCCGCCATTCAAACCCGGGAGGGAATCTTGGCGGCGGCGGTTTCCCGGAGGAGGGAGGGGTCCCAGCCCCACAGCAGGCCCCCAGCCCAGGGCTCCAGGCCGGGAAGAGACGTCCCCACACCTTCGGGCTGTGAACCAGCGGGGACTGTCCCTGAGGGTCGCGGAGGCCGCAGGAGCCCCAGCAGCTCCTCCTAAAGGGCCCGCGCACGGACTCACTCGGACGCTCCCTCTGAGCCCAGCGCCGGGAGCAGCCGGAAAGGACCCGGGACACTCGGGGAGGAACTAACCTGCCTGAGATCCGGGCGAGAGTTGGAGGGGCGGCTTCCTCCCAGGCAGAAGGGCTGGCGGAGGCCATGGCTCCTTTGGCGAGTCCTCCCCGCACACAGCCGGCAGGCAGGCGCCATGTTTGAATCGCCAGCACCTGACTCTCACCTTTGGCCCCGCCCCGTGATTCCCGGAGGCCCCGCCCCTCCCCACCCGCAGCTCATCCAGGCCATTTCCAGGGGCTTTTCTGTGCAAGTGCCANAAGTGGCCTCTCGAGCCTCATGCTTAGGACTTTCCTAAAATCTCTCAAATAAGTAGCAGCGAGCCCTCATATGTCTCGATAAGTGGCCCCTGGCCTGGCTCTAGCGGCAGCCTGCATTGGCTCACAACTTGGCCTCTCCTGGGCACCTCCAAGCCCAACACAAGTAGCAGCCAACTACGGTTTGCTGTGTAGCTCATGCTGGATGGCCCTGGGCAAGGCACAGCCAGAAGCTGAGTTTGCACCTCCCAGGAGGCCCCAGAGACAGTGCACCTGGTGATCAGACTCAACCATGCTGGATTACAACCCTTGACACACTTGATGTGCACTCAGTGAACAACAAAGCTCCATTGAAGTAAATCCTGCTCCACAGGGGTGTCTCCAGCACAGCAGTTCTTTGGCTGTAGTTGCAGCTGGTCCTCACAACCGATTGGCATGGGAGTCAATTCCTCCAGGTGATGCCAACAGCAACCAAGGCTCAACTACAACAGGACAGTGCACACAGCCCACACAGGGGAGCACCTAGAAGGCCCAGCTCAGGTGACTGGGGAGGCTGAGCCACTAGACCCTACAGGACACCTACTACACAAAGCCACTCTACAAATTCCAGGAGACATAGCAGCTATACCTAGTACACAGAAACAAACACCAGGAAGCAGTCCAAATCTGGAGGCAAAGAAACATGTCACAAAGGAAAGAACAGAAAAAATCTCCAGAAAAGGAACTAAATAAAATAGACCTAAGCAAGCTACAGAGTTCAGAATAATGGTTATAAGGATGCTCAAGGATCTTAGTAAGACTATTAAGGAAACTAGTGATATCATCGATGACATAATAAGGTATCAATCAGAAATGAAGGCTACATGAACTGAAATGGAGGATAATTTACAGGGAATCAACAGTAGAGGACACTGAGAATCAAATCAGCAATTTGGAACATGAGGAAACAAAAAACACCCAACCAGAAGAGCAAAAAGAAAAAAGAATCCAGAACTATGAAGACAGTATAAGGAGCCTCTGGGACAACTTCAAGAGGAACAACATTCATATTATTGGGGTACCAGAAAGAAGAAAGAGAGCAAGAAATTGAAAACCTATTTGAAAAAATAATTACAGAAAACTTCCCCTACCTGGTAAAAGAAATAAACTTACAAGTCCAGGAAGCACAGAGGGTCCCAAACAAGAGGAACCCAAAGAGGCCCATACCAAGACACATCATAATGAAAAGACCAAAGGTTAAAGACAAAGAATCTTAAAAGCAGCAAGAGAAAAATAGTTAGTTACCTATAAGGGAGCACCCATATGGCTGTTAGCTGATTTCTCAACAGAAACCTTGCAGGCCAGAAGGGAGTGGCAAGAAATATTCAAAGTGATGAAAAACAAGAACCTACCACCGAGGTTACTCTACCCAGCAAAGCTATCGTTTAGAACTGAAGGTCAGATAAAGAGCTTCTCAGACAAGGAAAAGCTAAAGGAGTTCATCACCACCAGACCAGTACTACATGAAATGTTGAAGGGTCTTCTTTAAGAAGAAGCTAATGAACAAAAGAATCTGACAAACTAAATAGATCCAGAGACATTGATGCATGCAACAGACTGTCATATCTCAGAGGGAAGAAGGAAGGGGGTTGGGGGGGAAGAGATTAACCAAAGGAGTTATATGCATATATGTGTAACCCATGGACACAGACAGTAATGGGGTGAAGGCCTGGGGAGGAGGTTGGAGCGAGGTGGAGGGGGTCCATGGGGGAAAAAATGGGACACCTGTAATACTTTCAACAATAAAGATAAATTTAAAAACAAAAACAACAACAACAAAGATGCCAGAGACTTTAAAGTAGAATAACTTTAGAGTCATAGAATTTGAGAAACTTATGTGTTTAGAAATTTAGAAGCTTGATCTCATCATAGAATCTTAAAATGTTATAATTTTAGAAATTTACATTTCTACATACCAGAACCTTAGTACTCGGAAGCTTAGAATTATATGCCCTTATGCCCTGCAATTTTCAACTTTCCCAAGGCATTCTACTTTCTCCTCCCAGCCTCCCTGTCATCCACTCCAACCACTGGGCCGCCTTCTGGCCGCTCCCCTAACACAGCAGACATGCTCCTGCTTCAGGGCATTTGCTCTGGCTAAGTCCTCTGCCTGGAACATCCTCTCCCAACACTCAGTTACTTTACCCACCTACTGTCTTTTCAAAAAGTCCTTCCCTGAACACAGGAGGGAATAAGAAAAAAAACAAAACAAAACAAAACAGAAAATGTTTACTATTCTCCTCCGTTTCAGGAGAAAAATAACGCCCACACGGAATTCAACCTCAAGAACTTGGTCATCACCACCCTCAACCTCTTCTTTGCTGGCACAGACTCAGTGAGCGGGACCCTCTACTATGGGTTCCTGTTGCTAATGAAGCATCCTGAGGTGGAAGGTAAGGGTCTCCCCTGGTATCTCCCACTCACAACAGGAAGGAAGACAGAAACACACTGCCTTAGACTTTTTCAACTTTAGAACCACAAGATCTAATGAATACTGACTCTCAGATCCTGAGCACAAGAAGGCTATTTAATATGACCTTCTACTTGGTGTCCAATTCAAATAAAATCCATTTCCAACACGTGGTAATCTGTTCTATTGGGTAACTGTAAATGAAGAACTCATCTTGCTTAAGAAAGAACACAATTTTACCTCTCTGCCTTCAAACAGTTAAAAATAAGCCAATTGCTTTGTCCTGGTAGAGATGCTGGGAGAGGTTAACCGATATCCACTCAACTTTTCTAGCCTCAACTTCACTGTCTAGCTTGAATTGGCTAACTTAAAAAATCAAATATTTATTGAACACTTTCCTTCTCCTGGTTGCTTGCATAATGGATTTTGTGTAATCCATGTGGCTTTTTTGCTTTGAAGTCTGACTTCTTCCAGCCAAGATCTGTGAAGAGATTAACCATGTGATAGGACCACACCGAGTCCCAAGTATGGATGACCGAGTCCAGATGCCCTACACAGACGCTGTGATCCATGAGATACAGAGAGTGATCGCACCCCTGGGATATCCCCACAGTGTCACTCAGGACACTCATTTCCGAGACTACCTTCTGCCCAAGGTGGAGTGCACACTTATTGGCACCTTCTCCCTCCATTGCACCCTTCTCTCTTCCTGGTTCCTTACCCCATGCTCCAACAGTGATTTCCCCTAACTGTCTCCATTTCTGCCCCCAGGGCACTGATGTGTTTCGCCTGCTTGGCTCAGTCCTCAAAGACCCCAAATACTTCTGCTACCCAAATGCCTTCTATCCCCAGCACTTCTTGGATGAGCAGAGCCGCTTCAAGAAGAATGAAGCCTTTGTGCCTTTTTCTTCTGGTAGGTTTCTGTGGTCTGAGTGCCCCCCAGGGACATGCTTGATATGTCCCACAGCCATTGGTCTATATTGAGGTTCAGGTCTGAATCAGCAGTTGAATTGTAACTTCCTAAGCCATAATTAGGACCATAAAATCCCAGAACCCCCAAATCATGGAATATTAGAACCATTGACTCTGATCATTAGCAAAATAAAATCACAATAGTGAAAGCATTAAGCAGGGTCAGCAAACCTTTTCCGTGAAGACCAGATAGTAAACATTGTAGATTTTGCAGGGCATCCGTTCTCTGCTGTAAACACTCACTTTGGCCGCTATAGCACAGAAGTGATCACATCCAAAACAGTGATGGGAAGTGTCTGAGTTCCCAAAAGGCTTTTGTAATGACCATTGGTATTTCAATTTAATTTTCATGTGTCTTAAAATATTTTTCTTTTGATATTGTTCAACCATGTTAAAATGTTAAAAGCATTCATAGTTTGCAGGCCATACAAACACAAGCATTGGGGCAGACTTTCCCCATGGGCAGTGGTTTGCCCACACATGGCATAAAATCTCATGGCTCTTTATATGTAAGCCACATGGCACCTAGAGTCAGTGCAATGGTTAGGAAACAGGGCCCCCACCACACCACTTACAAATGGTGCAGCACTTCAGCTGCCAACTGTAAAATGGCGATTAATCTCTCCAAACCACTAAGTGTGACTGACAAACAGTAAGCACTACTTAAGTGTGAGCTTTCATTTGTACACCACCACCCCACGTCACCAGTACCTGGCACCAATTATACGTTTTATATGCCTTTGAAAAATTGAAATGCACAGAATCTTCATATTCAAGGCTCCTTTACAACCATCCCATCTTGGAATCTGATGGAATCCAAGTCATCAGAGAAGTAGCTGCCATGTGTTGAGTGACAGGTCCTAGCTGAGCACTAACTCTAGGAACCCACTGAGTCCTTGTAATAAAACCCTATAAACCAGTGTTATGACCCCAGAGATGCTGAGGAAGTAGCTGAGACTCAGGTGGGTGGTGGGGTCAGAAGGCTCCCCATGACTGCTATCCCAGTGCAAGTGTGACCCACCCTCCTCTCCTCCAATGTGCTCACAGGAAAGCGCATCTGCCTGGGCGAGGCCATGGCCCGCATGGAACTCTTCCTCTACTTGACCTCCATCCTTCAGAACTTCTCCCTACACCCGCTGGTGCCTCCTGCTGACATCGATATCACCCCCAAGATCTCAGGCTTTGGCAACATCCCCCCAACCTATGAGCTCTGCCTGGTGCCCCGCTGAGCGCCTCCTACTGGGTGCGGAAGAAACCGTCAGAGAACGGAGCGCTGCCCAGGTGTACATCTCCCAAAAGTCTCTCAACAACCCTAAGAGAAGGCACAACTGTTGTGGGCCACAGGTCAGCGAAGGTCACTTGAAAATGTAGAGCTGCACATCTTCTACACGAGTAGAAATGCCATGGCCTGTCCAACATTTCAGCAACGATCTGGAGAATTTGCATTCTCATGTTCGCCTCTACCCAGGCTTTCTCTCCCCACGAAACTGTTGTAAATTCTCTGCCTTTGTGTTGCCCCTTTGTGTGTGGACACTGATATTCACCCAAATGCAGTTCATGATTCCTTCCTAATTATCCTCTCTCACAAAATAAAACTAAGGTAGCCAGTATACCAAGGCTGTTGTGTGTAGCAGCAAGCTTATTGTGTGTTGTATGTTACATCACTATAGAGCACAGGAAACAACTTCAAATGGCATGTAGACATCCCTGTGATGTACACTCCACCAGAGATTTCCCACCGGGTGGGCCACCCTATGTCACACTCCATTCTCAAGCTCATTGCCCCTCCCCACATTCCAACACCCATCTATTGGATCTTTCGGTGCGCGGGGCAATGCCCAACCGACTGAGCCACACTGGCCAGGGCGCAACTTTATTTTTAATTGCCAAAACCCAGACCCAACCCAAATGTCCTTCAGTTGGTAATGGACTTCAGTGCATATCCATATAACAGGATGCTACTCAGCAATAAAAAAAAAGAAGTAATGTACTGATACATGTTATGAAATGGATGCAGTATGCTATGTGAAAAAAATCCAGATTCAGAAACTTCTTACTATATGCTTCCATTATATAAAATTACAGACAAGGAGAAATGAGAGGAGCAGAAAATGGGGGTTGGGAGTAAGAGGAGAACCTGACTACACAGGGTGTGGAAGACAGTTTCTGTCAAAGATGTTCCTCGTGGCAATGTGGCTGGTGACAGGACAAATGACCCACCAATGAGAGCAGCTGGCTTCACAGCTCAGGTGATTCTCTTGAACCGTCCAGGCCACGTCAGCGCTGGCCACGCACCTGCGCTGGAAGGTCACACAGCTCAGCTGAAGGAGAAGATTGATCTAATCGTCCTTTTGGGGAAAAGCTGGAAGACGGCCCAAAGTTTTTGAAATCTGGTGATGCTGCCATCATTGATAAAGTTCCTGGCAAGGCCGTGTGTGTTGAGAGCTTCTCTGACTGTCCTCCTCTGGGCCATTTTGCTTGTTTGTGACATGAGTCAGACAGTTGCTGTGGGTGTCATCAAAGCAGTGGACAAGAAGTCACCACGTCTGTGCCAGAAAGCTCAGAAGGCTACCCCCAGTACCTGCCACCCCAGTCTTAGGGGCTCAGAACTGTTTGTCTCAATTGCTTATTTAAGTTTAATAGTAAAAGGCCGGTTAATGATCACAATGTACTGTAAACCTTCAGAAGGAAAAGAGGATTTTTGTGGACCATTTGTGGGGGTTTTTAAATGTGTGGCAGTTTTTAAGTTATTAGTTTTGAAAATCAGTACTTTTAAAAAATATATATATCTTTATTGATTTCAGAGAGAGGAAAGGAGAGGGAGAGAGAGATAGAAACACCAATGATGAGAGAGTCATTGATCGAGCCCGCAACCCGCGCATGTGCCCTGACCGGGAATCGAACCCTGATCGCCTGGATCCTAGGTCGATACTCAACCGCTGAGCCACGCCTGGCAGGGCTAAAATCAGTACTTTTTAACGGAAACAACTTGACCAAAAATCTGTCACAGAATTTTGAGAGCCATTAAACAAAGTTTAATGAGAAAAAGAAAAAAAAAAAAGAAAGGAAAAAAATAAACACTCACCACTTAGCCTAAGAAATAAAACATTATCAATATTTGAGAAGCCCATTCTGTCCATCTCTTTCCAATCATATCCCCTGCTCCCCCAGAAACAATTCCTATTCTGAACTTTCTATGTATCATTCTCTTGCTTTTCTCCATAGTTTTACCAAATGTAAATCATCCTTGAACAGTACATTGTTATATTGCATTAGTTTTGCCGGTTTTTAAGCTTTATATAAATGGAATCACATCATATGTATTCTTCTGTGATTTGGTTTTGGGTTTTTTTCCCCACTCAACATTATGTTTCTGCAATTATCCATGTTGATGCATGTGGCTATAATTCATTTTTATTCATGAATGTGTCATATGAATGAACCCAGTTTATGAAAACACCACGGTCTATTTATCCATTCTATTGTTGATGGACATTTTGGGTTGTTTCGTGACATTTTTATGTTTCCTGATATAAACTTGCACAAATATCTTCACGGTATACACATTTAGGAGGCCTATTGTTGAGTACAAGTTTGCTCAGTACACTGTATGCACTTTCCCAAGATTCCAAGGTCCCCAACTCTCTAACCTGGCTTAAAACAAAGGCTGACTCAGAGTTGAAATACGGCTCAGAAATTGCTGAAATTCTCAAATGTAGGCAAAGGGCAAAAGACACCAAAAAGGAGGTGAAGCTCCTTAAGAGAGCCCAAAAACATGTTGTCCTCAGAAATGAGTTATGCAATTTATTTAAGGATTAAAAGTAAGTGAATGTGTCATTGGCAACTTGAGCTTTATGTGAACTGATCTCACTCACACCATCCTGTTATTGTTCCTCTTAATATGTCCAACGCCTTTCCTGGTAGACCGAAACATTATGTAGTGATTAGGAGGTCTAGCTTTGTAAACAGACAGACTGAGACTCCAGTCTAGGTTCTGAGGCATCCTAGTTGGTGACCTCATTTGTAAGCTGTAGATAATAACATATCTCACAGAGCTGTTGGGAAAATTAAGGTAATGCCTATAGATCACTCAGCATAGTTGTTGGCACATGGCATTCAATAAATCACTAGCTACAATAATAAATATAGTCATTATTATCAGCTGGTCATTTATTTTCTTCATGCTTTCATTTCCCCTTCCCAAACGAAAAAACAAACAAAACAAAACTCCTCAGACCATTTCTAGAGTATGACCCCTTCACCCTCTGTCTCCTTCATTCCTGTTACCTGCCAAACTTTCACCCAAGTCCTGCCATTTTCCTGGGAAAGAGGCACTTCAGTGGTCATGGGCATGAGCTGTCCAAATAATTAGAAAGTACCTTCACTTCCTTCTCTCCTCTGGCCTCTCCTTCACCGGCTTTCAGTCAACATTCCAACAGCCCCACCCTAATCCTACCTAATCACCCTGAAATCTGAAAGACAAACGCTTCACTGTGACCTCGATCCCTCAACCCCTCTCACCACCTCACTGCCAGCAGCCCTGGTTAACTGGGTCCTTAGCTAACGCTCCCAGGAACGTAGAAATGATAGAGGGTCAAGTCTGCCTTCGATTAAGAGAACTTAAAAAAAAAAACACAAAAAACGTTTTGGAATCTTGTTTCAGGCTTACAGGGAAGCTTTTCAAGAACAACAGGATATCTGGGACAGTTACCTGAAGTTTCAGAGAGAAGAAAGGTGGGGCTTGGTGGCCCAAAGGGTGAGTGAAGAGCGTGAAATTCAGTCACACAAGGACAAGCCCAGGCTCTGCCCTTAGCCGTGCAGCTCAAGACAACCCACTTCCCACTCTCGGGGCCTTACTTAACTCATCTGCAAAATGGGAATGAAAAAACAAAGCTCATAGACCTGCTGTGAGGCGTTTAATAAGACCATGCTCATAAAAAGCTTCACACCCTAAGATAATATGCTCAGTGAATGACAGCGTTAGCGGTACTAATATTTAAATTTAAAACAAGAAAGCTCACTTAAGGCCTCTTTTGGAAATGTTTTGGAACTAGCTGGAGGTGGTGGTCTTACAACACTGTGAATGTACTACATGTAACTGAACCCTTGGCTTTAAAATGCTTAATTTTATGTTATGTGAATTTCACCAATTAAAAAATATCTTCTTATTTGGAACATGGTCATAAATTTCAAGCACACTTGTGGGCATGAGCAGGTTTTTCCTGGGAGCTCTGAGTCAGGCTGGGGAGTAGGGGATAGAATGTTGATTGATGAGGTTGGCGAAGGGATCAGGATGTAGCTGTCAAATATATCTGTTCTGTTTCATCCATCCCACAGGTCCAAGACTCGGCTCTCTCTGTCTGGACTGCCCTCCTCTCTTCCCCTACCTGGTGAATGCATCCTGCAAGACTCAGTTCTAATGACACCTCCTCTACAAAGCCTTCCCAATCCTCAACCTTAAGTAGCATATTATTACTAATAATTACTAATTAATTTGAATAGCATCATTGAGGACTTTAATTTATTCAGGTCTGCTCTCCCACTAAGAAACCCCTAAGAGCAAGAACTGTGCCTAGTTCACCATGTCCAAGGCTGCCCGCATTATCTCCTGCCTCAAACCTGCTCCTGATCCGTGTCCCCAAACCAGCAAATGACACTACCATCTGTCCTCTACACTGGGCTCCTCCCTCACCCTTACCTCCACACAGCGGACATATAATCAGGTTAGAATCCATGTTTCCTTCCACATCTTCCCCCAGCTCACCTTCTCCCCATCCTCGTGGCCTCGGCTCCTCTCTTATCTGGATGCCTACAGGAGCCACTTCTTCATCTCTCAGTTTATAGTCTCGTCTTCTCCAAAAATCTGATAAATTTTTCTGAAACACAAATCTGACTACATTTTCCCCCCTCTGCTTAAAACCCTTCCGTGGCTTTCTTTTGCCTCCAGCCAGGATCCAAACTCCCCACCAGGTCACATAAGGCTCCGTGTGGTCTGACTCCTGCTGATGGCTCTGGTTTCATGGGTGAACATGGCCCCGGAGCTCTACACTCCAGGAGCACTCAGCCATGCTCTCTGGGGCTCTTACCTCCATACAAGCTTATCCTCTGCCTGCAATTCTCCCTCACAACCCTCTCTACCCTTCCATGGAAAATCCTTCCGAGCCCTATTGGGGCTTACCCTGAACCTACAAGGTTGACCAGGTGCCATTTCTGGGCTCCTACAGCTCCCTGGGCCCCCTTTCCTGGCCATGACCTATCTGCTTGTGTCCCTCCCTTCTGCCGTGACTCTTCTGCCTGGGTCCCCCACCCAAGCTCTGACCCCTCTGCCTGTCTGTGCCCTCCCTTGCCACCCTGAATCCTCTGCCTATGCCCCCCATCCTGCCCTGACCCCTCTGCCTGTGCCTTCTCCTCCCAGCACTGTCCATTCTGAGCTGTCACTGTCTTGTGACTGGTCTGTCTCCCCACTGGCATGTGGTGTCACACACCGATCTCTCACTCCATGTTTCAGGGTCAGAGACAAGGCCAAACTCACTTGACCTCAAGTAATTCTCCCAGTCTTGACCCCTCACGGCCTCCCCACCCAGCTCATGGCAGCCTGTCTAAACATTCGGGGCCCTTCCTGATGCCAACTTCACTGAGAAACAACCGCCCCAGAGTCCTACCTGCCTCCTTCTCACGGAACAAAGGAGAATGGGAGGGCCCAGGCCTGAGGCCAGCCCAGGTGCAGGGATGCAAAGGAGACTTTTGGTGGTAAGAATGCCATCAAATATACGGATATCAAATGTAATGTTCTTAACCAATGTTATCTCGTTAAAAAAAAAAAAAAAAAAAGACCAAATAAAAGATTAGGGGGTTGCTACTGGCCAACCCCATGCTAATCCTCCTGCCCTCCTCTTCCCCCTCCAAAACCAGCAAGCAGCTCTCCTTTATTTGTTGACCTAGCCCCTACTCTTTGTTCCCTCCCTACAGGTGTCAGGGGCTTAAAATGCTTTGAGCAAGATGCCAGTCCTGGGAGTGCCAACCTCACCCACCTGCACTCACCTGATTAGAGGCGGCACCTGAGGAGGGTGGTCCAAATGTCGGAGCCTGCCCAGTGCCCATCAGGGGCCCCTCTCAGGCCCACATAGGACCAGTCGCAGCACCGGGACCAGTCACAGCCTGCTGGGACCAACCTCAGAGCCTACCTGGTGCCACCCTTATGCCCTCTGGAAGCCAGCCTCAGTGGCCACCTGGGCCTTCTCCCAGAGCTCTCTTGACACCAAAGGCTCTCTATTACTGTTCTCCTGGTATTAAGTTCAGTGTCAACTTATTTTCAATCCTAGTCTACCTGGAGACAAGCTCAATGCCAGCGTGATAGCCCTCTCTCCCCCGGGGTACCTGATGCCAATAGCAGAACCTGCCAATGCTGATGCCAATCTCAGCACCCACCTGCTGCTAAACTTGGTCTCCACCTGGCCCCCAGGGTGGGCTAGGCCAGTCAATGGAGAAAGAAGGAGAGAGGATTCAAAGCCCAGCTGTGCCACTTATTACCTGTGACCTCCAGCAAGTGTCTTTATGGAGTCTTGGTCTCCTTAACCGCAAAGTAAGGGTGATAATGACCTGGCCCCACTCGTACAAAGATTCAGTAAGACCCTGCAGTCAGACTCAGCCTCCTCAACTATGCTCACCAGGGGGTAACTTTCCTTATTATCAAGAATGTCAGTGAGGAAAGCACAGCAGAGTCACTCATCCTTTCTCTACTCCCTCCCTCAGCACCTCAGGGCCACCTCTGTTCCCACCCCTGGAGTTTACCCAAATTGCTCCTTTTATGGTTCCCTCTGCCTGCTAATAGTGGCACTGCTGAGCCAGGAATCACCCCTAAAGGAAACTTCACATACCCTCAAATACAACCTTTCCACTGGTGGCAAAACAATCCCAGAAAGGGGAATAAAAGTACAGAGCAGGAGAGACGTGTGCACCCTGCCCACTCTCTGTTTTCTGTCCTCAGTTTACCTATATATAAAATGGGAGGCATTGCCCTGGCCAGGGTGGCTCAGTGGTTGGTGCGTAGACCCACAGACCAAAGGGTCGAGGATTCGATTCCCAGTCAAGGGCACGTACCTGGGTTGAAGGTTCGATCCCCAGCCTGGTTGGGGTGAGTGTGGGAGGCAACCAATTGATGTGTCTCTCTCACATCAAGGTCTCTCTCTCTCTCTCTTCCTCCTCTTTCTCCCTAAAAATCAATGGAAAAAATATCCTCAGGTGAGGATTCACAAAATAAATAAATAAAATGGGAAGCATTAATAATAATAATTACAACAGAAATGATACAATCAACTTAGTGAGCTTCCCTAAGGATCTCGGTAGGGAACGAGTGTGGCTCTCTGTAAATTACTACCCTCAGACAGCTGGGATCTTTTTGTACTGTGTTGCAGTTGTCATTACTAGTTTCCGAGTCCTGGCCCATGCCTCTGCCAACTGAGACCATGAGTCACTTCTCCAGTTCTGTGGAAAGTTCCACTGAAATGCGGCTCTGGTCTTCTATCTCCTTCCCAACCAGGGATGGGCAGTTCTGTGACATCCCATCCTGACCTCGCTTTGAAGTTCCAATGAGGTTCTGGGCATCAAGGAACGTGTTGTAGCCCATTGTGGCATCTGGGGTCAGAAGCTGACACCATGAACCAGCTGGACTCTATATATTTCTCCCCACCCCCTGCAGGAAGCCCACGTCCACTGCCACTGCCTCTCACCTCAAGACCCTCAAATCCATTGCCTGACATCTCCCATCCTGAGGCCTTTAAACCTACATCCCTCCTCAGCAAAAGACCCCCAAATTCACAGCCATGCATCCTGTCTCATTCCAATACCCTTAAGTCTTTAATTTTTCTCTCCTGAGACCCCCAAGTTCACAATTTTGGGGTTCCCTCTCACTCTGAGTCCCCAAATCCCAAGCTCATACATGCAAATATTCCAGAATCTTCAGTTCTAAAATTTGTCTACTGTGCCAAGTCCACAGCCCTTGGCTGGCTCCTCGGGAGAGGTCACAAATTCAGACTCCTGCCCACTCCCTGTTAATCTGCCTGGAGTCCCTGCCTCCTCCATTGCTGACTATAACCCAAGCTGCCTGGGAGCATGACAGGGGGTGTAGTCAGCAGATGAAAAGAGACTGTTACATAATCAGGACCGAAGGTGACCTCTCTCTCCCAGGGAGTATAAAAGCAACCCATGCCAGGCATCGCCATGTGACCGCTCTCAGTGCCATCATGCTGGCCTCAGGGCTGCTTCTGGCAGCTTTGCTGGCCTGCCTGACTGTAATGGTCTTGATGTCTGTCTGGCAGCAAAGGAAGCTCTGGGGAAAGCTGCCTCCCGGCCCCGTTGCATTGCCCTTCATCGGAAACTACCTGCAGCTGAACACAGAGCATATGTACAACTCCCTCATGAAGGTGTCGTGGGGCAGGGAAATGGGTGGTAGAGGGGGGCTATGGGCCTGCCCAGTCTCGCTGGGACTTTGTGGCAGGGAATTGGCATCGATTGGACCGAAATCTTAGGAAAAGGGAGTTTTGTGTGTTTTTTAAAATATGTTTTTATTGATTCCAGAGAGAGAGGAAGGGGAAGAGAGAGAAACAGATGAGAGAAAAACCCAGGCACGTACCCTGACGGGGAATGAAACATGCAACCTCTGGGGGGATTGGACCACGTTCAACCAACCAAGCCACACCAGCAGGGGCAGGAAGGGGGAGCTTTGAAGTTTTAGCATCAGGGTCCTAGCCGGGAAAGACCAGATCTTGGGATGTCCAGTCTCTTGGCTGTCAGAACCTGGGCAAAATGTACCCCAGCCTGTGAGGACTGGGTCCAGGGCCCGATGGGAGCTGAGGCCGCTCCCTCTCACCACCCCCGTGCCTCTCCATCAGATGAGCGAGCGCTACGGGCCGGTGTTCACCGTCCACCTGGGCCCGCGGCGGGTCGTGGTGCTGTGTGGATACGACGCTGTGAAGGAGGCGCTGGTGGACCAGGCCGAGGAGTTCAGTGGGCGAGGCTCCCAGGCCACCTTTGAATGGCTCTTCAAAGGCTATGGTGAGGGGCTCTGGGGAAGGGACGTGGTCAGGCAGACCCGACAGCCGTTTCCCCAGCGTTCTCCCAGCTCGCCCGCCCTCTTGGGCTGGGGCAGAGCCCTTCCTCTGGCCCCTCTGACCCCTCTGGCCCCCTCCGGCTCCTCGCTGCACCTCTCGGGCTTGTCCTAGTGTTTCTGCGCCTCCTGCTTCTCTGTCGGCCTCCCGGTCCCCCTGCCCACCTGCCGGTTCTCTCTCACTAGGTGGCCCTTCCTCCCCTTATCTGAGAGGCTCCGGGGATGTCTGCCTTGCAGGCCTGGCCCTCTGTCTCCATGTGTCTTTCCGTCTTTTCCTCCTCAGCTTCTGTGCCCCTTCCCGGCCTCTCTTTGTCCTTAGTCTTAGGATCCCACATTATTTCAGCTTCAGTCCCCATGCCTCCATCCCCTGGCAAAGCCCCTCATCTCTCCAGACGCTCGCTCGCCATTTCTCCGTATATATTTCTCTCTCCTCTCCAGCTCTTTTAAAATCCTTCTCAATTTTTACTTCCACCTCCCAGATGTCCCCGGGTCTCACTCCCCCTCCTCTCCTCCATCTCTCCCTCTCTTCAGGTGAGTCTCCGTCTCTGTTTCTCTGTGCAGCGTGTTGCCCCGTCCCTTCTGATTTTCTTCCAACCCGGCCTCTGTCCCTTCCCGGATTTCTCTGACTGGGAGCGTCTTTTCTCTTTCTCTCTCTGCCCACCTCCCGCTGACCCCCCTCCCCACTCCTGCGCCCCCTCCCAGGCGTGGTTTTCAGCAGCGGAGAGCGGGCCAAGCAGCTCCGGCGCTTCGCCATCACCACGCTGCGGGACTTCGGCATGGGCAAGCGCAGCATCGAGGAGCGCATCCAGGAGGAGGCGGGCTTCCTCCTCCAGACCTTGCGGGACACGCACGGTGAGCCTGGCAGCCCAGGGTCCCCTCCACGGACCCGCACCGAGGGTTCTGGCCTGGGAAGGGACCTAGGTTCGGGGGAGGCTTTGCTCGAATTATCAAACTGGCATCAGACCGCCAAGTTGAATCTCCCCCAAATCCCTTCTCTCGCCTACACCTCCCAGGTGCCTTCATAGACCCCACCTTCTTCCTGAGCCGCAGTGTCTCCAACATCATCAGCTCCATCGTCTTTGGGGACCGCTTCGACTATGAGGACAAGCAGTTCCTCTCACTGCTGCGCATGATGCTGGGAAGCTTCCAGTTCACAGCTACATCTATGGGGCAGGTAACTGGTCCCCACCTGGCTCTACTGTGGCCCTATCACAGCCAGCCAAGGGCTCCCCCACACGGGGACAGGTGTCCCAAACTCCTGTCCTCCTCTAGACAGGGTCCCCTCAAAATCAGCCTTCTCACTTGGACAACTGAACAAGTGAGAACCCGGGACAGGTGTCTAATACCCAGTCTCCAATACCTGGATGTCTCAACTAATACTCCCCTTACAAAACAAG